ATGAAAATTCATGAGGGTAGAAAAGAGGGTAGATCTACCCATCTACCCTAAACATTATTTTTTGGTCATTTACGCTCATTACGAAGAAGAAGTTTTGACAAAACATATACGATGAAATCATGACAAAACATATACGATGAAATCATGACAAAACATATACGATGAAATCATGACAAAACATATACGAAGAAGTCTTGACAAAACATATACGATGAAATCATGACAAAACATTTACGATGAAATCATGACAAAACATTTACGAAGAAGTCTTGACAAAACATTTACGATGAAATCATGAAAATTCAAGAGGTGACAAAACATGTACGAAGAAGTCTTGACAAAACATTTACGAAGAAGTCTTGACAAAACATATACGATGAAATCATGAAAATTCAAGAGGTGACAAAACATTTACGAAGAAGTCTTGACAAAACATTTACGATGAAAATCGTGAATTTCCTTAAGATAGAAAAAATAAAGTTAATTTTATTTTTTTTATTTTTTTATTTTGTATGTAAAGACAGATATGTCAACAACCGAGAACACAACAACAGTTATAGTCCATGAAGCTATAAATGAAGAATATGAGTGGGTTCAGTTTAACAAACAACTCCGTCTCATTCGTTCGGTCAAAGACGATATGTACCAAATGCAAAGTATTTTGACAGCATGTTTTGCACCAGATACCAAGAAACCACAAGACTGGTTTAGGAACCAAAGCACACAAGAATTTTTGAGCGAAGCACAGCGAGACATACTTTTTTCTGAAAACAGTGAAGAACAGCGAGTAAGTAAAAAATCTTACTCGCCTAAAACTCATGAAAATCGTGAAAATTTGCCAAATGGTTTGAGAGGCTGGTATGTACATAGACTTCTTGTAAATGCTGTTGCAATGTGGGCTTCGCCTCGTTATGCTTGGTATGTTTGTAAACTTCTTGACGAAATTCATAGACAAGAACGTGAAGAGCTAGAGAACAAGCTTGAAGCAAAAGACAAAAGCATTCAGAAAAGAATACCACGTTCGGTACCAAAAGGAAAGGAAAAGAACTATAAGTATATGATTTATACTGAAGAGATGGAAAATGAAGAAGATAAAGATATGGTTATGTTGCATTTAGTCAGAAGAAACAACAAAAGCTTTTACGACCTTGCTAAGATTTACAAATCTGACAGAAATTGGTTCTATCGCGAAAACTTACCGATTTCAATGACACCGAATGAAGATGTGAAACAAATAGTTCAAGATACGTTACCTCAAACACACTATGATATGAAAGGTTGTACAATACTTACCTTCAAAGAAGATTTGCCATTGTTAAAGGAAAAAATAACAGAGTATTTTGACAACTTCAAACAAGTAGGGTAGATGAACCATTTATTTTTCAAGCTTGACACCAAAGATGGCTCAGGTAGCTCTATAAAGTAAATTGTCTCGTCAAATCCTTCTGGCATTCCGAGTCCTTCCTTCCGACATTCCAAGTTCTTCCTTCAGACAAGAAAAAAATTTCCCGACAACTGGAAAAAAATTTCCCGACAACTGGAAAAAAATTTCCTGTTGTTCGTCCGTAAACCATTCAAATTTTCGAAAATTGAGAACTTTTTGGTCGAACGACAGAAAAAATTTTTCCTTCCGACAGAAAAAGTTTTTCCTTCCGACAGAAAAAGTTCTTCCATCCGACAGAAAAAGTTCTTCCATCCGACAGGACACAAACGGATGACTGACGTTCCTCTTCCTGAATGCCTTCCAAAGCCAGAAGAACCGACAGCCCCAGCACCACAAGTAGGGTAGATGCACTCTTTATTTTTCAAGCTTGACTTTTTACAATTTGAACTTTGTTCGCGTAGATGTGAATTCTGAAAGAAGTATGAGGGTCTTGTATGACTTTGTACTTCTCCCAGAGTTCATGTCTGTCAAACTTACCTGCCATGGACTCTTTCATAAGTTCCATGAAATCGTCTTCGGACAATCCGGGGAAAAGTACAATGTCAGTAAGTATTCTTTTAACATCCTTACTTAAACTCTTTGCTGTCTGTACACAAATGACAACTGAGATGTTAAAGTGTCTGAGCTTCTTAAGAATTCGACACATATCTTGTTCTCTATTCTTAAGCAAAGGATGAGAAGCAAAGTCATCTAAGATAAGAAGACACCTATGAGGGTATGTCCTCCAATCGTAAGATTGCAATTTCTTCGAAATGTATTCTATCTCTTTCTGTTTGTTTCTGAAGTGTTTCTTCTCTAATATTCTCTGCATTTCCTCATTTGGGTCTTTAAACTTCGAATTTATATACTCATTTATAGCATTATACTTCAAAACTCTTCTTTGGTACTTCTTTATCCAATCTAACAACTCAGTATCCTTTATGCATACTAACTTAGACTTTTTTATAATATCTTTGAACGAATTTACGGTTTGGTCAAATTGACCAGAAGTACTACAAATGACAACTAACTCATAGAATGGGTTCTTCTCATCTAGTTCTTGTTGTTGTGCAGCCATTTTAAGATAAGTGAAAGTCTTACCCGACCCAGGTGGTGCAATTAGACCTGTTATACCATTCTGAGCAAATAAGAACTTGTCATGTATAGGTTTTATCTGAGCATTTTCTAACTTCCTCTTGTTCTTCTTCAAAACATTCTCAAATTTCTTGTCAATGTCAGCAAACTTTTTTTCTAACATATTTTTAGAAAAATTAAAATTTTTATCTTTTAGAAAATGTCTAGTGATTTCGCTATCTATATTCGAGACAAGCTTTTTGACTCTAAAACTTCTGTCGACCATAAAATCTTACATAGTGTAAACAAGAAAGGTGAATTTGTTCTAAAGTTCTGTTTCTGGGAATATGACAAGAACCATAAAACATTACAAAGAGCAGTCTTAAAATTTGTCAATGACAGACTTGTTGACAGAGATGACGCCGATTGGAAAGATGAAGTCCAACAAAAGTTCTTAGAATGCAAAGAAGACACATGCGCTGTTCTTGAAGATGAAATAGAAAACAGAATAGATGAGCTATTAAAGGACAAAGAACTTTTACATAAATATGGTTGCGCCAAATTTGACATAACTCCACCAGAGAAGAAGAAGAAGAGAGAAAAGAAGGAAAAGAAAGTAGAAGAAAAGAAAGTAGAAGAAGAGAAGAAAGAACCTGAACCAGTTCCAGAGAAGGGGAGATATGACATGTAAAAATAAAATTTTATTTTTAGAACATTTCTGGGTCAATGTCAATGTTCTCTTCCTCTTTAGGAGCAAACACTGGCTTAGACTCTAAAATCTTTTTACCCAATTTACCTTGAACTTCAACTATCTTAGACTCATAATATTCATAGTCGTCTGCTTTCTTTGGTTCATAAGGTATAACAAGTTTGTATGCTTTACCTTCTTCGAGTTTTGAGAACTTTCTGTCAAAATTTTCTTTGACTGCTAACAAACCTTCTATGTCTAAGTCTTCAAATTTCGCACCATTTTTAGTCACAACAGCAAACTTAACCGGTTCGATGTTCCAAACTTTGCTGAATGAAGACTTTTCAAAATGGTAGAAGTAAACATTCAAATAAGCGAATGGGTCTAGTTCTTCTTTGACTTCTGTCATGTACTTATTTACTGAAATATATTTCGTCATCTTTTCTATCGGATAAAAAAATATTTTTTTTAAAAAACGTTTTAAAATGGTATGCCATATAGCTTCTTGAATTTGTTAAGAAGTATTTGAACGTATTTTCCATCTGTATCTCTAGCGTTTACATGAGCATAGCCCGCCTTAGTAAAATATACTTGTAATTTCCTATAGTTTACGCCGGTATAAAAGTAGAAAGAGTCTTGTTCTTCGCTATAGTAGTAAAACTCAAACGTATGCTCGCCATAGTCTGTAATTTCAATTGCTTCATCTTCTAGTTCGTCGACAAATTCGAATACTATATCTCCAAATTTGCCTCTGTTCTTATTGTTTTCAGAACGAGTAACCCAACGTAAGTTCTCAAGTCTATTGTCGTTTCTTATACGGTTTATATGGTCTACAAAAGGTAAATTGTTAGGGTTCGGTATAAAATGAGTTGCAATGACAACATGTTTAAAATAGCGTTTCCCACTCATCCTCATAATAGCATATCCTTTATTTCCCTCCCATCCGCTTAAAACTCTTTTTGTCTTTTTGTTTCTGACTTCAAATGACTCACAACAGTGAATTTCATATTTCTCATCTAACAAACAAGTTTCCCAACGGTCTTCTCCAACAAACTCAGCGTACATTTCAAATAAAATAAAAAAATATTTTTTTTAAAATTTACTCAGAAAAATTTTTCTTTGTATATACGCCGTTCTGAACATCTAAAAGATTTTTGACATTTGCCAAGAATGTACGTTTAGAAGCTGCCATATAACCATACTCTTGACAATATTGTTTATATTCATCGTACAATGACCTTTCATCTAAACACTCAAAGTTAGTCTCATCTATAAACAGTTCATATACACTCTTGTTTGCTTCTAACAACGTTTGTCTCTCTTCGGTATGTGGAATTTGTCTTGGATTGAACTTTGAAATATCTAATGTCATGAAATATGAGAACAAGTGGTTGTAAAAGTTAGGTGTCAAAGTTTCTGCTAAGTCGTCAAAATATTCTGTATCTTGCATATGAGAATCTGACGTTCTGACAACTACATATCTTCTGTCAGAACTTTCTAACTTCATCGGAACAACATTGTTTGAAACCATGATGAAATTTGCAACATTTTCACAAACTCTTTGGTCTTTATATTTTCTTTCAACAACTCCAACTTTGTCTGTTATAAGACTCTTCAAAGCATCTGAGTTTAAAACCTTTGTTGTATCTATACTTTGAAGTTCGTTACATACTATAAGTTTCATATTCTCTATTGAGGAGTTAAACTTGCCACAGATGTTTTCTAAGTTTGTCATATTAGGGTTCGAATAGCCCTCTAACAGTTTGCATAAGATATCTGTAAAGAAAGTGTTCTTACCAGTTCCTTGTTTTCCAATTATAATGAGAGCAGTTTCATTTTTAGCACTTGGATGTTGTAAGATGTTTGCAAACCAACATAAGATATACTCATAGACTCTTTCGTTTCCATTGCATATAATTTCTTTGACATGGTCTAACCAAGCTTCTATAACATTTTCTTTCCATTCTACTTGTTCGTATTTATATCCAGTGAAGATAGAATAGAAGTTTGGAGATGGTGTATAGAACTTTATACCACGAACTGAAAAATCTTCTAACTTTGACAATAAGATATCCCAAGCATCTAACATCTTCATACCAACTTGTACGACTTTTATTTTCTTAAGTTTCTGTCTACATTCTTGTTCTGAAACTATGGTTGCTCTTGGTTTGTTAAAGACAACATCCCATTCTTTCATGACATAACATTCTGGGGCAGAGTCAACATAAATGACTAAACGTTTCAAATTCTCGACTGCTTTGTTATAGTCTCTAAATGGACACATATTTCTGAACGCTTGGAAGTCATAAAAATCTGAAACGTCTATTCTGTACATTTTTATAAAAATAAAAAAAAATATTTTTTTTATTCTTGACTTTGTTGTTGCATTTGTTCCATTTGTTGCATTTGTTGTTCTTGAGCTATTTGTTGTTGAAGTTGTTCTTGTAGTACAATACTTTCACCAGTTGCATCTTCCAATTCGAAACTTTCTGCCGTCATTGACAAATACATAGGACATAAAAGTTTTACAGGAACAAAGTTTGCGTCAACTAAGGTTAAGTTTATGTTTGCTAAAGTGTTTGAGTTTACTAAAGCTGAAAACTCTGCATTCGAATGAACAATAGGCAAACCAGCAGAGAAAGTGTTGTTTATACGCATGAGTATCTTTTGGTCATAGTAGTTTCTGTCGACATTCGAATAGCACTTTGAACCTAAGTTTGAAACAATATATAAGATTGGTGTACTTAAAGTCAATGGAACGGATAGACCTTGTATGACACCTTTTCCTGTTATAGGAAACTGTTGGTAGTAAAAACCAGATATAAGTTTTGTATTATAGCTCATATCGTTTATAGTAAACTCAGTCGGACATCCAAACATAATGAAACCTGCTCTAGTTGCAGCACATGTTACATCCGTCCTTAAAGTATTAAATAAGTCAACAAAACCTGTTGGTGGTATATCTGAGTAAGTATCTTCAAAGAAGTATTTTTTACCATTCACAACAACAAAGTCTTCTGGTGTCAAAAGAGCAAACAGGCTTTAGTCGTCATCGTGTTTAAAGTTAGTTTACAATATCGTCCTTGAGGACTTTGTAAGTTTGTTGTTATAGAATTATATGACTCAGGGTTTTTAGTCGTAATAGTATAAACCACTATGTCTTCTGCCATTTACTTAGCAAGTAAATTTTAATGAAATGTTGTGGTCGTCAAATATTTTTATAACGTCTGGGAAACTATATTTTAAGTTCAACGTCTCACCTCCTTTCATAACGTATATCTTGTCAATGACATTATATGAAACACCACAGCAAGCAATGTCGGGTTCTATTTCTTTAATGTTTATATCGTCTGCCTCTGTCAAAAGTTTCAATAGTTCTTTCAAAACTTCACGAGGTGCGATGACATATGAGTTCACTTTTACAGGGTTGTGTTCGACCAAGTTTAACATTATACTTAAAGCTTGACAAATCTTCTCCTGAGTTTGAAGTTTGTCTTTCAGTTGTTGGTAGTCGTTTCGAATATCTGCAACAGAACTTAAGTCTCTGCTAACTTCAGGATATGTTGGTTGTTCTTTTACAGGAACTATTGTTATACCATCTTCGTCTTCGTATGGTTTCCCCACTTCAACATCTCTTTCTTTGACATTGACAACAACACTTTGACTGTTTGTTTGAGTTGGTGAATTTAACTTCACATCTGCCATCGCCATTTAAACCTTTTGAAACACTTACGCTTCTATTTTTCGGAAATGACATTTTACTTAGAATTAAAAAGATGGACGTATTTGAGTATCTCTTCGAATTGAAGCAAAACAAAGTTTACACACACAAACAATACAAGTTCATTGACAGAATAGTTCTTTATACAAACAATGGAAAATGTTATAGAATAGCAGTCTTTGCTGAACCTAAATATTTCATAAAGCAAAGAAAGTTGGTATAACCGAGGATGGTGAAAGTTCTTGAAGCAGACAAAAATATAACAACAAACTGACCGATATTTCTAAAGGTAAGTTTATAATACAATACTATGTCAAAACTGGCGTACTGTCAATATTTGACGGAGAGAAGTCAGTTCAAGAAACAACTTACTGACCTGCTGCCAAAATCTGCTCGATGGAAGCTGTCGTTATACCAATCTGAGGAGCCCCAGCAGGTTTCATCGAACGAATTTTCAAAAGAGCATCTTCCGTGAAAAGTGCTATTGGTTTTGTAAACTTCTTTGCTCTCAGTTCATCTGGACCGTCTCTGTCACCAGTATATTGTATTTGAACTGTACCAACAGTTGAAATACCACCCATAAAGTCTTCTGAGTCAGCAAATGGAATGCCAAGCCAAAAGTTTGAACGGTTCCATTTGTATATTGAGTTTTTTGACCTCCTGTATGAGTCCATACTTTCACATATGGCATATAGAACTTTGCATTTCAGGGTTAATGGTTGTTGTGAAGTTGTTGTTAAAGTTCATAGCATCTAATGTCAAGTTGTATGACCTCATATCCTCAACTGTAGAATATTCTTCTCTTGGATAGTATTTGCCATCTATGTTTATATGGTATTTAATACCAGGGTTGTAGAAGCAAGAATAGTCATTATAGTTCGTCTGAACAGTACAAACATAGTATCTGCATGTTTCATTGCAGTTGTTAAAGCATATCTGTTCTTGCACCTGGTCAGCACTTTGGTTTCCAACTTCACCTGCAAAGTCTTTGACAGATATTTGGTGTATAGGGAACATAAGTGGAACTGCAATATATTTGGCAGCTAAAGCATTTGAAATATCTGGGTCCAACATATAGACTGCAAGTCTGCTTTCTATTCTCTTGCATTCAAACTTTTCGCATGTGAACTTAACTGGGTCCCAAGCATCTCCAGCAGCATTGAAATAATAGTTTACTTCAGTGTTGAGGTTTGAGAAACCAAAGTCTAAGTCAACTTTGTTTTTGCAAAAGTCGGCGAATGACGTTTGATTTGCTCCCTTTACGTCTGTAAGAGTGAATGGGTCTTGTGTTGGTGCAATGACTAAGTTATTTTTGCTTGGAGTAAGTTCGATAGAAATTTTTCCTGCCCAGTTTGGCAAGTATCTTAAAAACCTGAAGATGAGGAAAGATGACAAAGGAACTCTAAGTTTCAGTTTTACTTTAGTGGCAGCAGTTCCATCTGAACCAGAAAGGTTAACATAAACTCCTGGAACGTTAGGGTCAAGTCTTCTTATTTTCTCAATATTTGCATACTGGTCTGTTTGTTCTCTAGCTTGTGGTTGTACTGAGTTTCTCAAAGCGAACCATTCATAGTTTGCCCATGTTACTGTTTGAACTAAGTCAGAGTTAGAATATATCTTATATCCCATGAAAACTTCTGGAGCATATTGGTATCCGACATAGAAAATTCCATTGCAACCTTTCTTGTCAGACAACTTGGCAGAAGGTTTTATTTCAATGTCTTGTTCCACGTATAAGAATGAGTTGTCAATAGAAATAATATGAAACCTGTCGCAAGCAATATCTACTGTTGTTGAAGAACCTTCTCCAAACTCACCTACATTTCCATAAGAAACAGCAGTTGTATATTCGTAAGTTCCAGAACTATTTCTGACCTTCTAATGGCATTGTCGCATTCGTTATACCATTCGGAAACATTTCCATTCATAGCATCCAAAACTGTTGGCGTTATATTCTGAGCGGCGTACATTTCATATGAGTAAAAATATAGAATAGTTGGATTTATATGTCATAATAGAACCCACGTGGACCAAGCTTTACTTTCTTCCTGACTGAGTTTTTAACTCTTCTTTTTTCCTTCATTGCCCTCTGCTTGAAGTTGTTGCATCTTTGCATTATGTTCATCTAGTATGTTGCAAATTTTCCATGCCCTTTTTGCCTTTGGGCTCTGGTCGCCCATCTCAGGTAACCTATATCCTAGAAAGAGTTTGTCATAGTTTGTATTTGAGTCGTCGCTTATTGTTTGCATGACTCTGTCCTGAGTTTCCGGTTCAAGCTCTTCAAACAGTGCCTGTCCATATGGAATATGCTCGTTTCCAAATATATGTTTTTGTAGCCATTCTGGTTTTCTTTCCATGTTACCAACTATATCTTTTGTGAATGGGAAAGCTTTTACCCAATCTTTCAGTCTTGCGTCGTTTATTTCTGTAGTTGGTTTTATTTTTGTCAAGGAACATGTTTTTCAATACTAACATTTCATTTGGTACTGTCCATTTGAGTTTTCTTAAATATTCATCCCTTCTCAGTTCATCGTCTGCAAAGTAAGTTTTTATGACATTTTGTAAACTTTCGTTTGCAAGGTCATGTACAATAGGTTCTCTTCCTTCGCTCTCCCTAACTTTCTTTCTAAACTCTTCACCAAATATACCATCTCTATGGTTCTGTGTAGTTCTTTGAGATAAATGTTCTAGAACGTCAGGTGTTATATTTCCATCAGCCATGTTCATTTCATACTGGTCCAAAATATCTGCATGTTTCATATCTTTCAATGGCATTAAAGCCGCGCTTAAAATACCAGCTATATCTCGTTCACCATTCAATTCCATTGCGTCTACAACTTCTTGGAATTGTGGTTGTAAGTTTATGAACCACCTATCCGGATTAGCTTTATGACCCCATCTCATTGTAGTTCCATCGTCTGCAGAAACAAAAGTAGGTTTGTTTCCATCTTGGCTAGGTTCTGAATGAACTTTAAACAATGTTTCATTTCTATATGTTTTCTTGAAATTTAACCTTTTATCTTCACCGAGTTCATCCGAAGATTGAACGTTAAATGCTCGTAAGTAAAAAGGGTTGTTGTATTTGTGTACATTTTCTTTCAGTACTTTCATTCTATGCTGAATATTTTCATCTGGTGTTGGAGTCTTTTGTATGTCGGCAAACATTTTTCGATATTCTTCTACTATGTCAGCCGAATCTTTCTTAGACTCTTGAAAGATTCCATATTCACCTCATGCTCTTGTTGAGGGTCAAGATTTTTCGGCTGTTCCAAATCTTCATCTAGTTCTGTGAAGTTAGTTTCCAAAGGAGGGACTTGTTCGTTTCCTTCAGGCTCTTCTAGCTGTTGTTGCTGAACTATTTCTTCCATGTCTGGTTGTATCTGAACTTCTTCCTGTGGAGTTTCTTGTACCTCATCTGCTGGCATTTCATATATTCCGAGACCGTTTTCAACAATTTCCCTATCTACGTCATCCGCATTCATAAGCTTTTGTTCTTTCGTTCCGTCTCTATTTTTTACGCGTTTCATGACGAAAGTTGAATTGTCATTTAGCTCTGACATCAAATATCTCGGAGTAAATTCATCCATGTCATTTGGATGATATGCTATTAAATC